CGTAAGAAAGGGTGTCCGAAGGAGATTACCAGATTGCGTAAAGAACATAAAGTATAAGGGGGCACACCCCCTTATATAGATAAGAAATCCCCCATGATCACTAACACAAAAGAAAGTCCTTGGCGTCGCGCGCAGCCGCGATCTTTCCGTCATGTTCCGCCAGGTTCCGTCGTGCGGCAACCTATCCCAATCATAATACAAAGGAAATCCTACAACGCAACCAACAAAACCACAGCCGATATATGCAACCAAAAGTCCAATGTTCCTCCGCGTCCAGCACGCCGGGTGGCCGTGACACTGAACTGCTATATAAGAATTGTTACCAGCTATAGAACTTGGAAGTATAATACTTAGAAATTACAATACTTTTTCTTTCTTAGCTACATGAGACCTGAATGACCCTGAATCCCCAAAACCTTGAACCTTATACAAACATGCCTTGTTTGTACACCTGTATGATATCAGAAGCCTCCTTCGATTGTATCCTTTGATAGTGGTATCATACATCTTGTACTACTCGAACTCCTACACCCTACTGATTATTGGGCTGCAGACATGGTTTGTAGGTTCTCTTCACATGACCATCTTTACCAGCTGCCAGGTGTGTGATCGGAAAGGAAAAACCAATAAGGTTTTGGTTGTACCGTATGATACCATTCTAATTTCACACTTCTCGTGTCAACCCACTCCTGGGTTATTATGTGAATATCTCTACGAGTGGCTAAGGGTCCAGAGATTTAACGTTTGAACATAATTTATCAATTATACTGTATCCTGCCCAATACATCATGGGTCATTCTGTGCAGGAGAGTTCTAAATTTCACCGAAACCGCCAAGAGGTTAGTGTGAGTGCCATAGAGGAGGTTACCGGCACGGTACCTGATTGGAAAACTACTGATATCGGGTGCTCACATATCATACAAGCCGTTTTTAGGAAAATACCCAAGACCCTAACACATTGCTGGCAATGGGCGAAGTATCTTGCTTTCAGGATTATATAACAGTTAGATGATAAGTTGTTGTGCTCTAAATTGGTAATATGATGGACTTCTTTTGGTACAAGGAGTGTAGGTAATGGTGAGCTGTGGCATAGTACTGTAATCTGCCAATGGAGCTTTCCATCCCTTATTTCCGGATGTATTGTGACCAAAATTACTTCCTGGTAGGGGTATTAAGCAAGTCTGAAGATTTCAAGCTATGAGGAAAAGGAGGTTACCTTGTTGGATTGTCGAGAGATTTAATCTCTCGACAATGGGGGTTGAGCCATAGGGGTGTACGTAAGTGTATATTTGATCCATAACAAGAATTGGAAACTAGCAGATAAGACCCCCTATTAGGCTAGTTGCTTTGATAGGGAGGCGTTATGGTGAGAGGTAATAACCTTTTTTTCTCTTCTGGATAGCTGAATGCCTCAGCCCTACACTTTATATCAGCACGCGCAAACTACTTTGCTATACTTATGCATTGGATCGCTACCATATTTTATCTACCAATGGAAGTTCGAACCTCCATAGCCTTATCGCTAGAGAATCTCAAGGCACCTTATGGTGTCTGCATACAAGTAAGTATACTTGCACTCATATACGCTGCAGAGACCACTGTGGAAGGTTCCAGGAAGAAGGATGCGGAATCCTGACTTAATCATAACTACCAGTGGTGATCTGAGACGAGTGAACAGCGCTGAAGCGTAGGGTATAGTATCGCTGCTCTATCGCCATTGTTTAGAATTTCTTAGGGTATAGGTATCCCATCTTGCTGCCTTGATCGGAGCACCGAATATGAATATTGCCATCAGTTGATGAATCGCGCAGGTGCCACACACTGAGTGGTGCATTGAGATACCGGTAATTGGTAAGTAACGACTTGTGGGCTACCATGGACATTTCGTTACCAAGCCACTGAACTTGGAGTGATGTGAACGGAGTTTGTTGGGGTGTTGGGGGGAGAAGATCGATCAATTCTGTGTCCCCTATTCCGTATGATACTTGTTTTTTTTTGGGGGGGGGAGGGGGCAATCACGAAATATTCCAAACCGTACCTTGAGCCCGTGAACCGTATATATATACACTGGTTTAATAGAGAGCTGGGTATTTGGTGGCTATTATTATATAAATCGGTGGGCTACTATTTGCAGTGCTGATAGCGCGATCATAAAGTGCACATGGCTTGGTCTAGTCGAGATGTTTTACTGTAGTAGGCACTGGTCACATGTGATACCCTGTCGAAGGCTCCCCGCTTCTATCGCGGATTTCTTCCCTCCAAAAAACATCCGCTATCGGTATTGTCCCTTTGTTAGGGAACTGAGAAAAAACATTAGTGCCCATCTCGCATCTCTCCCCTATTCTGCCTCTGCCCGAAAGCCTACTATACCGATACTAGCGCCGCAATACGGACGGTAAACAGCTCTATTACTCCCATCAAGCTCCCGTCCCGCCATCTCCACCCAACAACCCCGCACTCTTTTCGCTCCGTCAACCTCACCCCCAACGCTCCGATGGCCCTTCCAAAACGCATAATCAAAGAGACCGAACGTCTGGTTGCTGAACCGTAAGCACTCACCATTCTACCTGTGCTGGCCGGAAATCCAAGGGGGTCCGCTTTTTTCATACATTTCTGCCTGGGGCTGCTTCACCCGTCGACCTGGTGGAAATGTATTTACTAACGCTATTGAGGTACCCAGCTGACATAAAATAAAAAATCTTTCAAACATGCAGAGTTCCAGGAATTAACGCCGTCCCGCACGAAGATAATTTGCGTTACTTTGACGTTACTGTCCGTTCGCGTGTGTGTTCGTCCGGTTCAAGTGCAAGCTACTGACGCTGCCCGAGGGCTTTATCTAGATCCATGGCCCCACTCAAAGCCCGTATGAGGGAGGCATCTTCCGTCTCGAGCTATTCCTCCCCGAAGATTATCCCATGACACCCCCAAAAATCAGGTTTCTTACCAAGATCTACCACCCGAATATCGACAAACTTGGGAGAATTTGCTTGGACGTGCTCAAAGGTTGGTTTATACTGTTCCGTGACTTGGGTCCGGCGGCGCCTCGCTAGATGGGAGAATGGTTTCTTATCTTGGTATAGGAAACTGGTCCCCTGCACTTCAGATCCGTACTATACTTTTGAGTATTCAAGCTCTCCTCGGAGCGCCAAACCCGGATGACCCATTGGCGAACGATGTGGCTCAGAGATGGAAGGAAGACGAGAGGGCTGCTATCGAGACTGGTAATTTCTATCGCCCCATTGGTTTGGAGTATAGTACGAGGGGTGCCTTTACTAAACTATGATCGCTTCCGGGGACATAGCAAGGGAATGGACCATGACCCACGCAAGAGTCTGAGTAGTAGCTTGTCCACCCTTTTAGCCAACAGATATAACTTTACGACTGCTTTTTAATCTATCGGTTTGTACTTATAAAGCGATACGAACTGTGGGGGGGGCGGTCCGGAATGGTCATTATTCTTTCAAGCTTTTAACGTTCATCCTGACCTGCTATTCTTCTCTTGCGCTCTTCCATGTCTGTTTAGTTTTGTTCTTTCACATGTTCTGTACTCGGGAGTTGGAGACAAACTAGTTGGAGGCTGCGGAATAGAAATCTGCATTTGGTTCGATCTTTCTAGTTTGAATTTTCACCTACGAAACGCCAGGTTCCGGGAGTAATTAAAAACTTATGCAGCAGTGTAACCGACCACCCTAGGAAACAGTTTCGGGAGGAAGCGATTGTTGGAACTGTTTGCATTCAGGGCAACATAAACGAGGCGGGCCACACAGCCTAGGATACCATTGCCGGCTTCCCCTTCAACCACCGAGACGGAGGCCAGCATTGCGCATGAGTATGGCATTCCCGCGAACCCGCGGTCTCTTATTGCAGTAGTCTCGGAGGCAGTGGGCCTTCCCCCGAAGCGTGGTGGGGGTGGTGGGGGTGGTGGGGGTGGTGGTGGAAGCAAGAAATGAGCACATTTAAAATCCTCGTGGCACAACAAGCCAATGCTTGTTCACAGCACACTCGGGAGAGAGCCTGCCTTCCTGCCCACGTGGAACGAAAAAGGATGCAGGCCCTAGGTGGGTATCCAATGTATTATTAAATCTCCCCTGTCCCTCTCCGTTCCATCCCCCCCGGGACTGGATTTTCGACGGGAGCGATAGAGAATTTTTTTTCACTGGAGATCCCATTCGCAGGGTTCTGTCCTGCTTAATTTTGTGGATACGCCGGTATTCCGGGTGCCTGCCTGCTGCTCTGAATGTTGAGTCCGGTTCGTTCTCTTCATGCTTTTCCGCCTATGCCATTTTACCCGTGACTCGCTGGATTCGATAACCTCTTTTGTGGGATTATAATGATACCATTCTGTTCGTCTCGTGCTTAAGCGTAATTCCTGATGTGAGCCTGCTTTGGATACCGTGTTTATATGCATGATGAAATGGCAAACAAACCGGAGATTATCCGACAACCCCTCGCCCTCTGTTCTATTATTGGTTTCACTGCCGTAAGGTTAGAGCACAGGATCAGGATAGCTCTTTGAGGGAGCATATAATATAACAATGAGTTGGACCACTAGCTGTGCAGCTCTTCCTAGGGCATAGCACCCCACAGGGTTTCTAGGTCGGCTTGTATCTTGTGTGGAGACCGGGAACCTTGGGAGGTACTGCGCTGCCTAGGATTCTTGTGATATTGTTGTCGTCCCGAAGGCTACCGTGCAGCAGAGTAGAGTACCGTACTCGTATTGTACCGGTACTGCGATAGCTGGGTTGTTGCTGTTTTAGAACATCCGCCCGGGTGTCCGAGAACATCCAGGTAACTTTTTGCAACACCGCCGAGTTGCATACTGTAGACCATTGCCCCTAGAGGAAGTCATGATATATCACTCTCTAGTTTGCAAAAACTTGCTTATTAGAAATCTGCTCTCTGACACCGGCTTCCTACTCACTACCGGTATTTGGTCAATTAGGAATAGGGTCGAGCGCTCTTGAGAGATAATTGGCGTCACTAACCTGGAGGTATTTATTAAGTGGATGTTTCCGTTTGGTAGGTAACTGAGTTAAGTCAATCAATAGATCCCCCGCCGCTACAGCATCTATACTTCTCAACATTGTTCATAATGTGGTGCATTCAAGGTTATATGATGGGGGAGCAGGTGATGGTGCATCTTCCGGTGGCTCAAGATAGCTAGCCTTCCCGCTTGCTAAAGAAGAGAGGAAGGTGGACACTCAGATGAAGTTACCTGCACATTAGGCTCCTCTGCTCCGTACTGTATCCCCTATCCATCCCGGAGGGTTAGCCAGAGCCTAGAGTGTTGTAAATTATCAGGGCCTTACCGTGCCGCACGAAGGATAACTTCAGCACTTCTGAGAACTAGGCATGTGAACATTTTTTTTCCCCTTTGTGGCGGGTGAAAAGGTGTGATAAGGTCGGTTCGAGAGAGGTGAAATACCGTACCACCATGTCTCCGGATTCTTCTAGATCTTTGGGGATATAACACCGGTCCTCATGTCGTGTCAAAGTGTGACGGCAATTATGTGATATGAGTCAAATTTTTTTCCTTTTTTTGTCAAAACGGTGACATGCGCCCGGATACTACTCGTACATCGAAGGGAGGAGGGAGGAAGAAAAAAGAAGTTGCAGGGGGAGGGAGCGATTCAATTTAGTGGCGGAACACGTGGAGTGGATGGCGAAGGTGGTTTGTAGAAATTGAAATGGAGCTAGAGTATCATACTCGTGGGAGGAAGGTGGGAGGGAGGGAGATTTGAGGCTTGGAGAGGGCCTTCTACATTACTTACGGCAGTTCTTCCAATTTGTAGCTACCCGCAGGGGTGCAATGTGATTCAACAGTTTACACTACAGTACAGTATGGAAAAAAAAAAAATTTATTCTTACTTTTATTCCCGGATGGGACTATTATGCCCGGGGGTTACTGGAGACAGCTGAATGGAGGAAGGAATGGCCGAAGGTATGGAGCTATTCCTGATGTCTTGATGAAAGATTAAAGTGTGCAGTGGTCTACCGGGGATACAGGAGGCAGATGCGCTACTGGCGGGTACTATTCAGCACAGTGCTAGTTATTTGTACGTTGGCTGCTCGCAATTGGGGGTCCCGGGGGACTTCCACAGGACTCTGATGTGCACCCAAGTCTATGTATGATACGCCGAGCTGACGCTGGAGATCATAGTTCTCGGCTCCTCGGGGATGGCAGCAGGAGCAGGGCAGGATATGGAGTGAAGATGCATCTCGCAGTATCCAGTGTCCTAAGCTAAGTTCCCGGTAGACTAACATTGCACAACATCGCCCATTGACAACCAACCCAACACAGGTCTCAAGGGACTCGCAATCGGGCCTGTTTCTTTTTACATAACAGCTGCAGGCCGTTGACAGACTGGAACGGTTGATAAAATTTTATGCCGACTTGCGGTTTGGGTATCCCCGGGAAATATCGGCTTTGTCTCCTGAAGAATTTCTAACATCGTTTTGTTCCTCCATCCAGGTTCCCGTTTTGTCCCTTTTTCCTTCTTTCCTTCTTCTTTCCCTTTCGTTCCACTTGTGCCGTCCCCTTGAAAACACTCCGACTATCAATTACGATTTACGACTGGCATGATACGGTGTATAGACCTATAGACCTCCCTCACTTACCCTCACACCCCTGTGACGATCCTTCTGTTTGCCTCATCACATCTACCCACGACTTTCTCTACCCCCACTCTCCCCTCCAGAGACGATCGAAGCTACCCTGGATCATTCTCTCTCAACATTTATCGTTCCGCTGCAACCTTTGTTTTTTTATTTTTACCGCTCACTTTCTCCTTCCTTGTGTTGAGCTGGATGGGCTGCTTCGATAGCAGGTTGCAGGATAGTCATCTTCTGAATTACTCCCTTCTGGGCTCGATTTCTAAGGCGAACGCGTTTACTGCGAGGAGGATTCGACAACTCGCATCTAGCTTGCATACGGAAGGGAAGGGGGGAGAGCGTTTGGCCATTCTGTGAAATAGGCCATCGCCGAATTAGCGAAGCTACTGCTTTCTCTTATCGGCCTGTCGGCCCATCCCCTTCCTTTGCTGGGAGGTGAAAATTGTGTATACTGTAATAAGGCTTGACGTGAGTAGTATGGTTTCCTTTCCCTCTCTTAGATGGTGCTCTCGATTATAGGGGATTTGGACTGATCATTGGGCCCGTAATCAGACTTCAGATCTTTGACAACCTTACATTTCACGCGGCTGCTTCCTGGGAAGGATCACCCAACCGCGGCTGCCATGAGCGCTCTAAAGCCTCCCTGCCCGGAAAGGGAATTGCCGTCAGCGTTTAATTCACGGACGTTCAATCTAGATATGTCGATAAAGGTCGACGCTCCTGTAGGATCTATGTACGTTTTTTGTGAGGGTTGGCTTATATGGGGTAGAGTCAACTTGGTTTTGTTTCTGACGGTAGATTAGGTCTATATCGCCCAGTAGCCGGGATGTGGTATTAGCTTCGTGAGTGTGCCTGGAACAACTGTCCTACGCTTGTGAACTGAACTCCCATAGCCGGCAGGGCCTTCATATAGTGGATCTCGATAATCCATATGATCCACCACGCTTTCTTCAGCATCTGACAGCTTGGTCAGTCGCCGACGTCCAATGGTCGCCGCACGCATCTCATTCTCACTGGGTGGCCTCGGCATCTAACCAAAAGGCCATCGTGTGGAATCTAGCTCTCCCATCCCGCAAGGCTATTGAACATGTTCTACATTCTCATACTCGAGCTATCACGGATATCAACTTTTCCGCCCATCAGCCAAACACCCTAGCTACGTGTTCGATCGATTCGTTCGTGCATTGTTGGGACCTAAGAATACCCCGGCGTCCCGTTATGAGCTTCTGTGACTGGTTCGCTGGTGCAACTCAAGTTAAATTCAACCGACAGAACGAGCATATACTGGCTAGCTCACATGACAAATATTTATACATATGGGATATGCGAATGGGAGCACACGAAATACGGAAGATAAGTGCGCATTCCACCAAGATATATGGGTTGGATTGGAACCGAACTAGGCCGTCTGGGATTGCGACATGCGCCCTTGATAAGACTGTCAAGTTTTGGAACTATGAATTGAGCCCTCAAGATACGCCGGAGCGAGTGATAAATACCTCGTTTCCTGTGTGGCGGGCCCGTCACACGCCATTTGGGCGGGGAATCTTGACCATGCCACAGCGAGGCGATACGTCGTTGTATCTTTGGGATCGTAGGACGAAGGCCGATCACATAGACACTCCTGTTGCAACATTCGAGGGTCACACCGATCATGTCAAAGAATTCCTTTGGAGGTGGAGAGGTGGAGAGAGCGAAGATGGGTTGGATGACCGTGAATTCCAGCTTGTATCTTGGGGTCTTGACAAGGATATCCGACTTTGGAGTATCGACAAGGAGGTCATGGAGAGGGTTGGGCACGACTCGAAGAAAAAAATGAGATTTAGGGTCACAAGAAGAGGGGCTCAATATAAGACCTATCGTGACGAAGATGCCATAGTGAGGGAGTCAGGTACTGCTAGCAAAGTTCCGGCAATAGGCGGAATGAGACATCTGCCACGGTTAAGCATTGGTGGTTTCGACGGGGAAAAGGAGAATATGAAGGGTGGGTGGAGGGAGAGCCTCTTTCCTCAAGGCCAAGGCACTAGGAGTGGAGTTATGAGCCCCGTATCCGGGTCGACCGGGCTTGGGAGACAGCTGAGCATGGCCAGTTTGAGTGGAGATCCGCGTTCCGTGTCTAGGACGGGGAGTCTGAAGGAGGGCGGCTTTATGAGAGCTGGGAGGAAAAGGAGGAAAGAGATTAATCCCATTACATGGATGAAAGGTGTCAAGATAGGAAAGAGAATCCCAGGGAGTGGGGGTGAGAGTGAGGAGAGCAGAAATAGCACGAAAGGTGGTGGTTTGTTTGGGGTCGGATGGGATGGCCCCGAAACCCTTGGAGATGAGATATCATTGGTTGGAGTAAAGTTCCCAAAGATCAGCTTCGAGAAGGTTAACATAGCTGCGAGAACCTGCACTTTATCCTTAACAGGGCCTTGGGGGACGAGAAACAAGTGGGTATTTCTCAGAGTCGACGTTACGTTTCCGTCTGACTACCCCGGAGATGCAAAGAGCTTGCCAGTATTCACGCTCGAGAGGACCAACTCCATTCCCGATGGCAACTTGGAGGTTATCGACGCGAACCTTAAGAAGATAGCTGAAGCCCATGTTGGAAAAACAAGGGTTTGTCTAGAGCCGTGCTTGTGCTATCTGCTAGGAGAGAGAACCGAGGATGCTACGTGGGATCGTAGTGGGGACGAAGGTGAAAGCAGCAGTGATGACGGCGACGGAGTAGTTGGGCTAGGCATTAGGAGTGCTGAAGAGGAAGAGGGAGTGGGAGGCTTTCCCGAGATTAATAGCCAAGCCAACGTCCCACTTCCAAGATTGTGCGGGGCTATGTGGGCCAATGATGGAAGATTGGTCTGCTTTTTCCTACCTAAGGAGGACAGACTAGGCCCGAGGAGCTTACTGAGTTCACTGGCAGTTAGAGATGGCGAAAGGACGAGACAATCTGGTGGCCGGCTTTGGGAAAGTTTCGGACGGCTTTACACCTCCGCCACTGGGCCACGAAGAAGAGGGCATTGGCTAAGTGAAGCTGATGGTGGTGGTGCCTCTGAAGATAGTTACAGCACCAGCAGTAATTCCTCAAGTGACGAGAGTGACGATTCAATTTCCGGAGGCGCCCTTAGGCCAACTTTGGGCTGGAGGTTAAACGGGAATATTGGGAGGGGGTTCAGAAGGGGGGGTAGTACGGACAGGAGCACCCAAAGGAGCACCGGGACAGGGGTGAAAACCATAACTGGCTTTAATTCCACTAAATCCAAGAACGCAGTATCGATTCACGACTTTTCATATCTGCTCCCTGCCAAAAGACAGCTTGCCGTGGAGTACAAGGTTTCTGGAGAGGGTCCCGATATCTGCCGTTATAATGCGAATGTGGCCGATAAATACGGATATATTGATATGGCAGATGTGTGGCGGCTTATAGAAATGGTTCTTTGCAACGAGGTGCCTCTGGAGATCTGTGGAGGCCCTGACGACGAGGACAACGAAGATAACGATGGGCTTGAGGATCGGGTCCTTGTCATGGCGAGAAGAGCTACGTTAGCGAGGGGAAGGCGCGATAGTGGCTTAGGCTTAGATATGGATAACAAGGTGACTGCGATTACCAATGTCGGGACTAAAGAAGATCCAATCAATGTGGCATATTGGGGGAAAATAAAATGGGGGGCTCATCCCTTGGGCGGAGCACGGCTTGTGGAGGATCTCTTCAACTATTTTCAGAGGAAAGCAGACGTGCAAATGTTGGCTATGTTGAGCTGCATATTCTGCGAGGTTGACCCTGCGGATGAGCTCAAGGGGGGGGGCAAAATACCTTTTCAAGTAGGATTCTCTCCTCTCCCATCTGTAGCCAAATACTTACACCCACAGGACGTACCTCTGCCTGAGAGAGTAACAACCTACACCCTTGAATATTTCTCGACCCTCGAACTTGCTCGTCAAACTCAGTCAATGATGTTGTCAGTTTCCCCACAACACCATTCAGCATCCATGACTCCAATGACACATGGCTCGTTTGGTTCATCCAATGGCGGTGGCTTCAATAGCGATCCCAGCATGCCGTATTCCACCGGAACAACACCTCCGCTTCGAGGTTACGGACTTGACGTAGACGGCTTTTCCTACTTCCCCAGCCTTTCATCATCTCCTGAACAAACCCACCATTACAGAAAATCCACCGCGGGAATGGCTGCCAACTTTAGCGCCGGACTTGTGAGGGCCTTTGGCCCAGGTACAGGAAGCCCACCAACCCGAAAGAGACCTAGCCCGGCTGAAAGTCTGATGGGGAACTTCACTAATGCTACTTCAGGGGTCACCTGGGGCCCTATTACGACTATTGGAAGTGGATCAAAGGGCCCTCCAAGTGAAGATCTTACCGATACCAATTCAGATCATGAGCACCCATCTTCCGCGAGAATTACCATGATGAACCTGGACAAATTCGATGACGAGGGCAATGTCAATATCCCATTCCTTGACCCGAAGAAAAAGAAGCTGTACCGATCTTACAGGGAAAGCTACGCGGATATTCTCTATGTCTGGCGTCTCCAAATACGGAGACTCGAAATATTGCAGTTCAACGGACTTAAATGCAATCAAGTGGACGAAGAAGGAGAACTCGTTGGATTCGGGAGAAAGCGCGGCAATACCGGCGACTGGGATGGCCTCGAAATAGCAGGGCATTGTTCGAGGTGTGGTGCCGTCCTGGATGTGACCAAGGGAGCCCGAGGCGAGTGCAAGGCCTGTAAGAGAAGGCAGGTCACTATGACTTGTTGCGTCTGCGATGTCATTATCAAAGGGCTTTACGGGCCTTGTTTGCAGTGTGGCCACGTAGCGCACGCGGATTGCCACGAAGCCTGGTTTTCCAAGGAAGGAATTACCGAGTGTCCCACTGGTTGTGGATGCAATTGTATGCATTTTGTCGAGAACGGGTTCAAGTTCGAGAGGACCCCGCCGGTGCCCCCGGTGAATATTAGACCACCCAGGGAGGAGAGACCTCGGCGGCCCATGATGCGTCATAATTATATGCTCTGATTCTATGAGTGAAAAAGTACTGACTGACCGGGAGTGGCCAGCTTTGGGCTTCCCAGCTGTTGAGGATTAAGTTTTCGGGATATCCGTTATTTGTCTTCATTTATTTCTATTTTGATCATGTTTCAATCTACACTTCTCATTTGATTGCAGGGTTAGCAGTTATCTCGGAAAGAATCTTAGTTGATCATGTTATGGTTTGTTTCACCTTGCAGCCGAAAAATATACCAGAGAAAAGTCCGTTATATCTCCATATTTGTATGCACTCTTTTTCTTGCCTCAGTTACGCAGAGTACCATTTGTATTTAGCTCTAGTAGTGCATTCATTGCAAGTGGAAGCACTTATCGTCCCAAGATCAGCATATTTTCTAATGTTTGAGCTCAATCGTCGATTATCTTCTGCGTCCACGAAATTACACCGCCCGTGAGTAACCTGGTTTCAAGTGGTTTGCGAGTGATACGATATGAAATCAGGTACCTTCCTCCGCCGTAGCTTACAGAAGTAGTGACTCATATATCCTTACTCGGCCCTGGAATCTGTCATTCGGGGGAGACCGAGCCACACTTATGAATCTTAACTTAGGGTTCTCGACGGATCTCGGGCAGCGCTTGAAGACCTAGCTTTACCCATAGGTGAGCTTAGCGGGGGCGCTCTTCCCCTCCTAACTAAATCTTAAATGAGCAGATATTGAACAGACAGCCCGAATTGTTTACTGATGAATAGGGGGCTCTTTCGAACAGTGAAATATTCCATCCTTCCTCTCGGAGCCGTTGCTTTACATCACCATCTGGTCATCCATTTATTGATGGCCAAAAGATCGCGTCTACAGTACCGCACACTTGCGTCAACCGACGTAAACACATATACCGACAATGTTTATGTCAGGATATTTTCATTTCTGTGATTAGGAGGTAGAGTCATATGTATGCTCCGGAGCATGGCCCTTTTTTTAAAAAGTAAATGAATAATCTGGGCTTGGGCTTGTAAATGGCTTCAGCGGTATCATATCATAAAGCCTCGATTTAGAACATATCGGGCTTTGGGGGGGGGGGGGGGGCTCAGACAATGGCATTTATATCTCGGCTTATTGTGGGGAAATGGGTTCCTTTAACTGCTATCGTACGTTCTAAAAGTGGATACATGCATGTAGGATTCGTCTCTTCCGTGAGCTGCGGGTGGGTTAGGGTGTAATATGATAATATGAGAAGTGGCTCTCGCGATATGAAGTGTTTATTCGGCAGCCCTGGCTTCAAACTACTTATATAAGATAGCATGATGTAAGTATCATACCTGTCAGTTACGGTAATAAATGAAGCCTAGGGAGATGCATAAACCCAATCTCCCAGAAAGTGCAGACACACACACACACTCCCATTGGCTATATAAGTGGGCTGGTAGGTTGTTGTTTCGGGATTGTGTATATTTCTCAGTTGGATTGCAGGCGTTGATGAGGGGGTAGAAGCAACCTGGTGGAGGTGGAAGGCTTTCTGCTTGCTCCGCTCTGCTGGGGTGGTTTTGAGATGCCTATGTTCCCCCGCCCATGTTCCAGGTTTTCTCCAGCACATGGGAGAAATGGGTTCTGTGCTTACATTAATTGAGAGTAGAGAGTTGATCTTCTTTGTGTGTCCGCGTTCGGTGCTTGGGACTGGCCTAGGTAGGCATCTGCAAGGTCGTAATAGACAGTATATCTTCGTCCTAATAGTGCTTCGGGCATCGGCTTTACTCAGAGTTCTAGCTTATTCTGGGATTCTTACCGATTTATCGGTCCAACGTGTGCAAAGCACCTTGGGGTATTATCCATGAATTGGGTTCATCCACTCTGGAACTGGGGACGAGATTCTACTAGTACTCTGGTGTTCACCGAAAATATTCGGCAATCCGGTGGGATTACATACCTGACTACCCCACACCGGCCAGAAGAACCGACGCAAGCAACTATCCTAGCGTTCCATTTTTAAATTCAAATCCAGTAGGCAACTTATCTCTCTCTCTGATGCAGCCCCAACCTCTCATCAGACCCTAAGCACTGCAAACATCCCAGCCACTTCAACCTCATCGCCAAGACTTCCCGCCAAGACTCAATCCCCAACCTCACCTCAACCTCACACCGAAACCACCACCACCACCGACAGTCCAACAAAATTATGGCCGGCGGACACCACCGAGAAGGTAACCAACCCCCCCCTTTTCTCCCATTCTCCTTCTTCTCTACTAGCAGGATAAAATCGCTAACAAACAGCCAACAGCCCTCCAACAGGACCCCGCATTCACCAAATACTCCAGTCAGTCTCCCTCGCCCAGTAGAGCCTTATCGGGTACTGACCACCAACCCCACAGACCTAAACGCGAACCGTTACAAGTACTTCAGGTGGAATGCTCGCACTGCTAGGATAAACTTTATTTACGCTATTGTTATACCTAGTGCGATACTGACACTGGCGTATAAGACTGAGGTTTGTGTCCCATGCCGCGCACGCCTATCATCTGGAGGGGAGGGGGGGGGGGTCAGAAATAGGGCAAGAGCTGATCAACACCCACGCCAGGGGAAATACAACTTTCGTGGCAAACGGCGCGGCGATATTCCACAGGATTTCTAAGTCCGATCCGAACGGAGGGGTTGTATAAAGGGTACGGTGGGAGAGGCTGGGATGAAAAAATTGATGGATGAGCAAATGCACCCCTACTGATATACCAGTACCCGCTCTTGTCAGACGCAATTACGCAATCCAGTTTGCGGGGGAAAAAGAGAAAGATAGCTTAGGCGTATCATACATAGTCTAATTTATCGCATTTTTTTCCCCTACCGTATGAGAAGAAGGGGAGGAACACCTTCTGATACCATACCGTGACAATGCTGAGTTACCGCTGTTTCCGGAATGCGTTAAATGTGCTCACGCTGGCCGGCCGGGTTAGGCCTAGCATCATCCACAGCCGTCCCTATCCTTAGCAGCAACGCTCGCACCATACATATCCCCACTCCCTCTCACTCTCCCACTCGTCCCGTGTACCATACCCTGCCATCCCTACACCCCCTTCACCAAAACCCCCTCCAAATTGCCCACCTCGTGTAAGTATGGTAAGTATCTGAGATAAAAACGCACGCCCGGACCAACCCACTGCCGCTCCACCACTAACCGACTACTATATAGTAGCCAACTAACACCCAAAGGCCTGATCTGGCCTTCCGCCGTGCTTGTCTCGGGGGCGAAACCGAACCCACTACTACACAGCGCAGTACAACGCAAGTAACATTTTGGGAAAGAACAAGCCGGTAAACGCAACAAGATAATCTTCTCCTAGTGTTTGTTTTCACAGCACGCATATGCTCAAGCCTACTACTATGGATTGATGGATGGATGGATTATGGCTGTGCTTGATTGGAGACGGCAGGAATACTGGGGAGGTTGTGTGTCATAACCGCTCACTCGGTGTACGCAATACATTATACAGTAGTGGGTGTATATATTGGTTAAGGGACTCTGGAGAGTGGGGTATGGTTGGGGAGTAAGGGGCCGGGGGGGAAGAGGGTTACGCATGTATGTGTGCAGACACGATATGGTGCCTTGCACCTAAAAGGGACACTTGACTCCATGCAACATGTACCGTAGCGCTCAACTCTCTATGTAATCAGTACCATGCCCTAAATCCTTTATCTTTGATAATTTATTAACTTACATTTTGAATCATATTACGGTTGGACAGCCAACTTGCCATGCTGTAGATGCAGAAAATCTAGTGGCAGATGTAGGGAGAGGGTCAGATATTGGAGGTAAATTTTGCTTTATACAATAGTAGTTCCCAGGAGATAGGAAAGGGTTTTTGATACATGAAAGTGGGAAGGTCTGATACAGTATATACTTGACATGTATTGAGATTAATATGTTTTTAATTTGTGATATGATTGGAAGTGATTCAAGTGAAAGTTAGAGCACTACCAAAGATAAAAAGGATTGAGGGTATAGTATTGATTGATTGCAGATAGGGCCGAGCGTTACATGTTGCATCGAGTCAGGTGTCCCTTTTAAGTGCTGGGCACCATATGACAAAATGGAGGGAATATTGGGGGAACATAGCACTCCCCCCCCAGCATCAAGGGAGAAGACGTGGGATAATTATTTCGCGGTGAGAATAATAATGCACAGCATTCCAGTGGAAGAAAAAAAGAAGAAAAAAAGAGACGTTGGTAGCTGCTTAACTAGCTGACATATCCCCCCCCCCCCCCCGGTTATCCCAATCGTGGTTTCGGTTCCTAAAAAATTGAAGGAAATAAAAAATAGATCTGCACCATTCGCCGTACCTATCCGACCTCATAAAACCCGGATAAGGGAGCCTCCTACAGTGGAAAGCCCCGTCTAAGATTAGGAAAAGGAAAGGAAAAGAAACTTATAAGGATATATAATATGTACGATGAAGAAGTGAAATAAAGTAGAAAGAGATGCTAATATTCATTTGAAAAGCTTTGCAGTGAGATAGAGGGGAGGATAGACTCGCATTGTTAGGCCTATCTAAAGAATGTCGAAGGGGGGGCTCTCCTTTTTGATTGATTAATTAGGTCCCGGGCCAGTTTAGGGTAAATAACCACCGGAAGGAAGCGTCACAAATGCAGCGCATAATATTGCGGAAGCAATAATGGCAACAATCATACTCTGCAAAAATATGGCGTTTTGTATCTGGCGCAGCGCTGGCTCTTTAATCCGGACTTGTTTCTCGAAGATCTTTCGGATAGGGTTGCGTTTCTCATATTTGGCTCTCCAAGGCTGACAATATCGTTAGCAAAGGGATGCCAAGGCGTCAGTTTAGGAATGACCTACTTCATCTTCGCGGCTATTTGAAGTTGCCTGAGATTCAAACGATTCCTTAGAGCTTTCCCCGTTGGACCCCTCATCTGCCCACAACTCCCTTTATTTGAAAAGTCAGCCATCCCTAATATCATTCCTGAGGCGATAGCTGTTTACCAAGGATGGATGTTGCGAGCATGTATCCCGTGGAGAACAACACACATTCCTTTATGCGCAGCGAACAAAGTCGATATGCCAACGACCCAGGGAATAGCAGCCATCGCTCTCCACCCACGGGAGAGATTGCTGAGAGTGAGCAGGAGGGCGATCATTAATCCGGTGAGGATGGTGCCCACTCCAAGACAAATAGCGAAGATTATCCTGGGGGGATTTCCATTACGGATGCTCCACCGGATAAAGTTTGGGTGTGCCTGGTAGAGGAGGGCATCTTCAACGGTCTTCCTGAGGGGGTCAAAGGCGCTAGGATGGGTCGTGTGGACAATTCCGTGCAGGGCAGCCATACGGTCACGAGAAGAAACATTGAGTTCGCGGGGGCCACCCTCGGCGATGTAAATAGCCACTACTCGAGTTACCTCGTCGCGGAATGGGTGAACACTAACTATTATTCCGCCAGAAGGTTAGCCAACAACTCACTTTACATAAGGATACCGAGGGGGCGGGCAATCAAGGAGTTATCTCAGGGAAAATAGTGCTCGGCTTACACGGTTGCCATCCCATCCCTGCAGATTGATATGCCTCTGCTGCTATCTGCCTATGATTGATCTTGTTTAATCCCCTGCTTTCAATAGACGAGAATGGCGCAATGGCCGAGTTCCCGAGTTCGTAGTCGGAGTCCCCAAATATGCCTGGCGTGTGTGGTGGGGTAGTAAAAGGGTTGGGCTTTGTTGGGCTCGGGACCGCAGGTTGTTGAGGGGAGCTACAGAAAGCATCAGACAGAAATTTGCTGACAATATTGTCGGGCCTAACTCCAGGTCCACTTTTAGGCCCAAGGCGAGGATCAAGAGGGCTAACAGGCACTGGGGGAGACAATGCCTTTTCGTTCTCAGAAAGGGCATTAAAGCGTTCCGTGTAGTCACGCAGCCACAGATAAAACTGCAGGTTCTCTGCAGCATGCTCCACATATAGGAGATAGCTCATAAAATCTCTACAAGTTATTGGCTGATAGAAGAGATGAGAATTAGTCTGAATGCGTTTTGATGGGATTGGGGTGTACGAGATCTCTCTGCTAGCAGGTTTCTGATAGTGGCAGCCCGGGGGCTATTGAAACATGTAGCTAGCATCTAAGGGCAAAGGCCACCAAGATTGACAACCTTCCCTAGGGCGAGTGTAATGATGGTCAAAGAAAGGGTTGTACATACTGAGCACGTCCCACCGGCAATAATTTTGTCAAAGGAGAGAGAATCGGGGATCCCGGAAATTCTGGATGGATGGCTAGAATTGGAGGTAACAAGAGAAAGGCCCTTCAATTCTGAAGAACTAGAGTCTCTGGGAGAGGTGCTAGAGACAAACGAGGGGCGTCGGTACAGAAGGACGCCGACAACCATGACGGATTTTTGTCCTTGGGTTTGGATAACTTACGGGAGGTGGGGGAGCTCACAAATGTCGTATACTGAGCTAGAGAGAGGGAATATTCAAATTATAGGCTGAGTTCTCTTGTCCAGCTGAAGAGAAAGGAGGGGAAAGATCGGACGAACGGCGGGTATAGGGGTCGGGCCGGGGAGGGTAGTTGGGTTTAAGTTGAGTGGGACCCTCCGAGTACAGCAGGGTGCGCAAGCCGTGAGGGAAGGTGTGAATTAGAATAGCGGAAAACAATCATTTATACACAACACTCGGGCATCAGCAGCTCCTTCCGGGGAATACACGAATAACGTTCTGTAGTAACTCAGTCAGGTCCACAAACTAGGAACACTTTTAACCAAAGTTTTCTACCACCTCTTCCCCTCTCCCCACACCAATATACAAGGCGCCCCCCCGCAAAGCCATGGGCCAAAATACCGGTACACCAGCATCTTGCAGAGACCACTAGCGTAGCCGCATCCTTCCAGGTCTTTCCAAAGTCTGTTGCCGCCAATGAGCTTACCACAGGGATTGCTGTGGCGGCGGAATCTTCCTAAGCGTCGAGCACGACATCTTGTCAGAAGGAAAGTTCGTTCTCCAGATCGGCTAACCTATCGCCCATCGCCTATGGAAACCCTGGAGACTTGGAAGAAAAAGCACTGTTGTTGCAATTTCTATCCCGAAAAAGAAAAGAGAAAAAAAAGCTTGAGACATGTGGGGTGCTTCAAGCGGAACTTGTTAGACAATTTTGCCTCCCTTCACACTCCCCTACTTAAGTGATTGTGGGAGTTACATACCGGTATCTAACGGCAGATGGATACTTTATCTATCCAATGTCTCCTTGGCTCGGTGTTTGAGCCAGGGCGAGGTCTTGTACCTTTTTCCAGGTTTGACACGCCTTCTGGCCAAAACATGAGTTTGGATCCATAGTGCACCAATGCAGAGCGAGAAGGTGACGGACGTTCCCGTAAACGAGTGCGGCACTCGTGCTCGAGCACACTGTATCTCAAGCTCCCCCCTCCTTATCTCTTGCCAGCCCCCGAACGCGCACATATGCCGGTATTGACGGGGATTTTGGATGCATTCCTCTCGGGATAAAGACTCCAATAGCCCCCTGGATTTCTTTTCTCTCGTTTTCCGTAAACCCTTGCACGGGCTTCTGGAAATGTGGAACTGAGTTCCTGACACGTGCTTGTACTCCTCAGTGCCCAATGTTATGGGCGCTTAACTGATAGGATGGCGGGCGGGCGAGTTCCGTCCCGTTGATTGATGTTGAAAGAGGGTAATAGTTGTTACTGATCTTTATGCAGTTGCGATGATTACGTGACACCAAAGTGAGGGCCCGTCTTTGTCGATAGTTACCTATACGAGTGCAAGAATGATACTATTCGAGTACCGTAGCTGTCCAGGATCCTCAAAGGTCGAGCGCCAGCAGGGGATCGGGAAAATGATCTTCGCTGATTGTGGGCCATCCTTGCAGTTTTCCCGGGATCGGACGGGGCTCATTGCTTGAGTTAAGGTCGAGCGAGCGCATTTGATGTGCGGTAGTTTAACCAATATCAAACTGGGGTCCCCTTCGCTTGATCACAAATGTAACTCAAGACTTACAAGTACGGCGACCCCCAAATTCGGCCCTAGTCTCTTTCCAACCGCACAGAATTGGTGGGTGATGTCAGCTCCACAATGGAATTTGCCGCATCAGATTCTTGTCTATCGAAGCCTCGCAGGACACCTACTCGTCAATTCATGGGGTGCATGTCTCTGGAGATAAAAGGTGCCAATTGCTGGTGTTTTGAGCCTGGATCCGAGAATCTTGGCACCTCTATTCCTGGAAATGCTATCATATGAGTTGGCGGGTACCGTGCTTGAGTACTCGTAGAGCCTTCAGAGGGGGCACGGGGGAATGGGTTGGTGACGAACCGGGACACTTGGTTGGCAAAGTGTCGGGTAGCAAAAATTATGATACTTGTTAGTGGTCCCTGTTCGTCGCTTGCCTATTTTTGTGGAGCCTCAGTTGATGACTGTATTCTTGGACTTTGTAGATTTATGACAGGTCAAACGAACTAGGAGGGTAGTCCGATGGATGAACGAGTACGGCGCCACTATCATACTCGGGTAGGAGGAGGCAATGGTCCATACCACAATAAAAAACTTCCTTTCAATCCTTAAGGCCAGGTAACAGGTTCTTATGAAGAAGGTAAGAAAGCTCACTTGCTTTTTCATTTCCTCTACCTATCCATCCATCCTTTTCTCCCTCAGTGGGCTTGCTTACTGTATTCTTCGTACATTTTTTTTCCTTTTTACTAATCTATTCTCCTACTACGATAGTATAGTATACTTTCTTACACTTAATTGCCTTTTTTTTAATTTGTACTTCTACACTCCTGTCTAGAAGCCTATTCTGTTAACCAAATTTCCAAATAGGTACTTCGAAGGCGTTAAACTGTAGCTCAGCACGTGAAGTGGTAGTACTTCATTATTTCGGAATAACTACCGTGGGACCAGACAAAGTATCCAGTGTTCCTGCTGTTTAAAGGGCTCTGGCACGAGGCACTTGTATCCGGCGAGAATGAGGTCGTAGATTGGACAACGGCCTCAGTCTGATTGTCAGTGGGGGTGAAACAAACCCGTGCGTGCAAGAGGGTTTATACACTGAGTAGGGGACCATGCGTTGAGAACTTATTGATTGTTCCCGCACGAACTTCCACCTTCATGTAAACTAATGAGTTATGCGTGATCGATAGAGTGAATTAGAGAAACGGAAGGCCTTCGAAGAGTTCTACTAGTAATACTACTAGTATTCCAGAAGTCCAAAGTAATGCTGTACTAGTATACCGTTACCGGCAGAATAATGCTCGTATCAGCCCGCTTAGATCATAGTAGGGATTTAATTGCTATCATACTGCCAACCTACTCGAGTAATATTCTTAAGCTCCTACCATCCCGCACGACCCCGGGGTTGCTCGTGTCTCCATGCCAAGCATTTGCACCTGATTTGGGATAGACACCACCAGCGCATAAAATGTAAAGGGCCACACTGCAGAGAGCAAAAATAGGAATCGTGGGCCCTACCCTGGACGCTTCACATCTGACCAACAGGTGGGGGCCACAGGCGTCAGGCAAATAGGGCAAAAGAACAGGTTGGATTATGATACACGGGTATGATATCACACAAGGGCCAGGTTTGGCCTGTGATAAAACTCGCTTAAAAGCCCACGCATCCGCATACCAACTTTAGTAAGCCTCGGCAGGGGCACAGGGCTGGGTCTGAAGTCCGGGGAAACAAACGGATTGTGTTTCGTTTTCTGGGGAAGGGCGAGAAAGGAAGAAAGTTTAAACTCGCCCCTATCAACCACCATGAGCCGCATTTTCCGCTCAGGCATTGCTCGCTCTCGCATCCACACACAACAACTTTCGCCGCTTCTAAATCCTTACGCCCACCGCTCCCTCACAACGGCCACCTCAGCGCCTCCACTGCCAAAGTCGCCATCGCCCCGCAGAGCGCTATGGTACGCCCGTCTCGGTGTAGCGTTCGTTGCTCATGGCCTTTTCTGGAGTTTCTTGGGGACGTACATCGCCGAGCAGACAATCCCGTTTGCGAGGGCTCTTCAATCGCCTTCGATTACGGACTCCGATGGCACAGCAGTGTTCGAGCGCGCAGCGGATAATAATGCGACAGTCAAGATTCTGCGGAGTAATCCAGACTACGAAGAGATGAACCCGTGGAACACACTGACTGACGAACGGAGGGAGAAGATATTGACCGCCGGTTTGCTTGCCGGGAATGGAAAGATCCAGTATATTCGTGTGTGGGTTAATAGGAATGATGGGAGCACTGTGCTCGTGCTTGGTTTGGGACGGAAGCTTACAGGGTATCCGGGGACTATCGTGGGTTGATTCTGGATGGAAGTATCGGGGGCGTTCGCTGATTGGTGAGATTTGATAGCACGGTGGTCTCATAGCTACGGTATGCATTCCGACTCACGATTATTTGGCAAGTGGAACTGATAGCTTCTGGAGCAAAGATCATAGATGAGGCACTTGGAAGAACGGTACGCCTGCTCCGTCACTACGATCCCCACCCCGACAAGCATCGAGCATCCGATTGACAACTATCTAGGCACTAAACGTCCTCCCAACCCGCAACGTCGTAACCGCAAAACTAACGTTAACCTACAAACGCCCAACTATAGCCCAGCGCCCATCCGAACTCCGACCAAGTCCTAAAGAATTCGTGGTCCTTAGGACCTGGGTTGTTGAGGTAGGTGACCAGTCTCGATCAATACGAGAGCATCCACCACCCACCGCCGATTAATGACCCCTTCGCTAATAATGTCGCCGCCATAGCACACGGACTACAAAGCGATTGTTCAAGGAAGATTGGAAGATGACGAGGGTCGAACGCTTGTAGAGAGCGACGCTGTATTCGTGGTACCGAAGGGGTGGAAATTGGCAGAGTTACCGAGAGAGGTCTAGATCCTTCCGACGTGTATTTTTGATCGGTCAACTCATGGAGGCCGATCCGACGTTGGGATAGATTGGTTTGGCTCCATGGGTGCCGGTGGTGTGTTAGCGTTGCGATTTTATGTGCGAGGGTTCTGTGACAGATGCATTTTAATATTCCGTTCTTTACCCATCGTGAAGCAGTCAAGCCGACTCTACTCGTACCGTACCTAATACCCCAGATACCACTGGCCGGTGTACGCGCCCTGGTCCCCCGTGAGCCTGGAGATATTCAGAATCTTGGCCGATAAAACTACACCTACTGAGTAGATTTGTTGGATATATCCGCTCAAGTGCGCACTAGAGCGCACAAGCATTGAAAAACTCGCTTCGAACGTTTCCTCACTTGTTGATTTCTCCTTTCCCTTTTTTCTCATAGTTCCTAGAGCGTTCAACTCCGCCCCCGGTGTGTCGCAATCGTGACGTTCTACTACTCCTGCTATGCGATTCACTTGACAAAAATAAAAAAACCCTGCACAATCTTTGCCACCGTTTTCAATCTGATATGAACCTAGGTTTAGAGCAAGGAAATCTTTGACTATGATATGACATCATGACCTGACTAGAGGCCTCGCGTACTTGGACCTAGGGGCTGGAGAGTATTAGTATCATACGTAGGATCCAGGTGAGTTGGTAACCGAGCTACAATAAATGAGGGGAATGATAGACCGTGTGAGCCCTCAGCGAGACGGCACCCTCAACGAGACGCTAAGGGTTCAAAGTCGCTTTATTGTGGCAAATGGCAGTAGTTTAGGTGGTAGGCAACGCCGCGCCTCGCTGAGGGTGCCGTCTCGCTGAGGGCTCACACGGTCTACATAATCCCATGAATATTGTCGGTGGACAAAATTAACCGCGGTATCAACGGGCGAAAATCTTCGGCAATGACAACAGCCTCCCCCACCAATCCCACTATCATGAAAACCCCCAAAAAAGTAAAAAAATGTAAATACATAGTAGAAATTAGTATTTGGTATACCATCCATCAACCTTAATGATTGCCTCTATTCTATCCACCATTGACCCTGCCAAAGTATCAAAAATCTTTAGGTTTAGAAGTTCCCAACGATGAGTGATTGCCTCCTCTATTGCCTCTTTGACCTCATTGGAAGGACCCTTCATAAGATACAGCTCAGGATAGTGCTTATGAAGTTTATCTTTCACCAGAGACCAAACATTTTCAATTGGATTGAGAGCTGGTGAATAGGCAGGAATTTCCATAAGAGTAATTTCCTGCCTTCTGAGCCATCTCCTGAAGGGTAAGTGAGTCTTAGCATTGTCAATGATAAAAAATACCTCTTCTTCTCCAACCTTTTCCCTGATATCCTCCCATATCCCTAGAAAGTCATAATGATCATAGACATCAATAATTGACTTTCTAGTAACTCTACCCCTAACAGAAGAAGGATCAGGAAAAACAGGTAAAAAGAGACCATGAGTTTGGCTATAAAAACAACTAGTCATCATCTGGCTAATCCCTCTCTCTCCTCTCTTAGCAGCAGGTTCAATACAATCCTTCTTCCACTTCTTATTTGGGTATCTAAATACCCATTTTCTCCTCTTTCCCCCTCCCCTCTCCACAGCCACCTCATCCCCCCACATTGCCTTCCTTCTCCACATCTCCTTTGTCCAATGCCTATGGGATAATGCCTATTCCAATCTCTCCTGAGCTAGATCCTCATCCAAATGAACTCTTTCTTGTGCCATCCGCTTTTTAAGATGCTTTTGTGCAAGTCTTCTCTTCACTATCTTGGTAGAAACATTGGGAGCAACTTTTTCAGCAATCTCAAAATAGCTAGTGTGGTGATCCTTGGGAGCTTCCTCAACTATGACTTCATCCTGCAACTTGGTAGTCTTAGGATGTCTTCCTCTACCCTTATGCTCTTTGCCCTCTTGATATCTCTTTGCAATTGTGTTTCTGACAGTGGTGGGGGGGGTTTTTAGGTAGTGGGAAATTTGCTCAGATCCCATTTGAGGCTCGCATAACCCAAGAATTCTCCCCCTGGTAAACTCAGAGAGGTGCTTGAAGGAAATAGGTTTTTTAGCATGACTGCAAAGAATAGGAGGCATTGTTTATTGAAAATAATAATTGGATAGGATGGTTCAGTTTTGGTTGATGTAGAGGAAGTTTTTTAGGTAGTGTAGAAAGTGTGGGGTGATGTGGAGGGGTGCGTTGCTATCGATGGTTGATCCGCAGTTAATTTTGTCTACCGACAATAATACAATATGTATCAGCGGCACTGGCATACTAAATATCAAGTGATTATTATAAGTATAGTTGATCAGCATTTGGTATAAAATAGAAACATGAGAATCCTAAGATCACAGGAACAGTATCAAGTAACAATAGTTACAAGTAATAATATTTACAGGAGAGAAGTACTAGAAAGAAATAAAATTTGATATGAGTGTAGTTTGGTTAGAACCTACGCATGGGCTTTTTTGGTTGTTATCGGGAAAACAGGTTTGAAGGGTAGCAACCTAAGAAAATCAATCTTGAGATAAACACTTTTTTCCTTTCCTCTATAGGAGAATCACTTCTCTTCTATAATAAAAAAGTTTAAAAATAAGGTAATTTGATTAAAAATTTATATACTATGTAGAATATATATCTATGATTTAAGATTTGCTAAAATATATTATTTCCATGGTTTTTTCTACTATGTTTATTCTTAGATTCTCAATGTCACTGTCTTTTATATTTTCTTCAAGTTATTTCTGGCAATCCCTGCTTAATTAATAGAGCTTTTCTTAGCTGCTCAATTATTTGGCCTTCTTATGACTATACCTTTGAACTTGTAGCAAGAATCTTATTCTTACTGGAATAGGTGCTTACATTTTTATAGAGTGTTTTATTGCCAAGACTTGATACCAATGTTGTAAAAGGTATTGTATTGTAGATTTACAATTCATCAATCCTGTACTTCTTTATATTAAATATTTGCCAATTACTAAAAGGTAATTGCTATAAGTTATCTACCATAGATTTTCTAGTATTAAATTTTGTTACTTATTTCATGAGGATTTATGATGTCCTTCATACAATATAATTCAATAAAAAAACCATCTTTACTTGAATGACTCATAACATCATATCTATATGACCTATTAATTTGAAACCAGGTTCTACAGATAGCCAGAAAGCTCTAGTATTTTTTTATGAAAAAAGAAAATCTTTTTAAGATATTTTACATTTTTGTACATAAAACAGGCTACAGAGGTTGTTAGAGATTGAAAAATATTTTCTAAGCTATTTAGAGTATGCTCTAGAAGGCTATCTATCTGGCTATGCTAAAATAAAATTTTTGTTATTGGAGGCCAATGTGTAGGTTCTAACAAAACCACACTCATATGAGCCTGTATAAGTTAAAACCTGTTTATCGGACCTCAACTACAAAACATTTATTTTTGCTTATCTACTTAGCTAGTTATGTAAAGTAGGTATATAGTAGCTCAGAAAATATTTTAGAACTTCAGATGATCTTTGTAGCATGTTTTCTGTCCAACAAACTGACAAATTCATAAACATACAACACATTTTCCTGCTCTTTTCAAAAAAGCCCTATAATCAGGTTTTAACTTATACAGTCTCATATGATATTTGAAGAGAGAAAGAGTAGCTATAGAATTTGATTTAGGTAAATATTTGTTATAATATGGGTGTTAATATGTGAAAACTGGGCAGACACCTTTAACCTGCATTTGTGTTATAACACTTTGAAGTTTGCATAGCAACTGTTAGGGGGTAGGTAACTCTAAAGTCAAGCGAGTATACACTAGGCCCTGTAATCTTCTGTCTCGGAGATAGTCAAGAAGGCTCGTAAAGATAGAAGTAAAGTAGAACGAATATATTGATAAGATCTCTTCTCCGGTCGCTTATGATAGTCTTAAAGCTAGGGATG